ACATTTGCTCTGGCAGGATGTCGAGTGTGTGTTGGAATAGACTGGAACGCTGGACAACTCTAGAGGCCTGCGACTGAAGGCACTTCTTCAGGGAACCTTCTAGCGTACATGGTGTCTGGTGTCTGTGGGTCTGGCAGTTCTCCAGGTGTCCTTGCTCACGTACCATAAATCTATTCTTTCAGGGAATCAATAAGACTTAAAGTTGGATGTATTTGTTCTGAAAGCTGCAGATGATTACACTAAAAAAATGAAATGCTATTTGTTATTCTGGCCTCACATTTAAGGACCATAATTACCTGAGGAAATAATGTAATTACAAAGCAACTTAATGTATCTTCTTCAAAATACAAATAGTGAAAAAGAGAAATTGACAATGACTTAATCAATAAAATTACACCAATATTTGTACATACTTAAATTGTATCCATAAAAGCTTATCACAAGAACTCACAGACATGATTTCAAAGTTTACTGATATATTATCAGACTAAATATATGCTAACTTTATTCTCTTCACAGTTAGACAGACCACCACTGGCCACGTGTAGCTTTTAAAATTTAAAGTATAAAATTAAATAAAATTTAAAACTCTGTTCCTTTGTATCACTAGCCACATTTGAAATATTCGGGAGCCACTTGTGCTACCACATTGGACAGTGGAGATACAATGTATCCAGCAACACAATCCTATTGGACAGTACTGACTTGGACACTGAAATTATAAGGAATTATGCTCACTCCTTTAACACACATCTTTGCTTACATCCTTGGTTGTAAATGCTGCTCACAAAGAGCATTTAACAGAAAGCTCAATACGTACCCCAGCAATTGGAGGGAGGGGGAAAAAAGAGGGAAGAGGTGAGCAGTGCTGGACTAGTTATTCTTGACAAAATAACACATGTTCTGTAACTGTCTCTGAGGATACCTCTTCTGAGCACAAAAGGTTCATCATACATCTAGATAAAAAGCCTGAAACTGTAACTCCCTGAAATTATGCTTAGTAGCCTGGATGAAAAACATTCATGTGGTTCTCTAAGCTAGAAAGCACTCTTCAGAAAATCTAAAATTATTTAAAAAGCATTAGAAGATACCTTCCATCTATTAAATTCTGATTGGATTCATTACAATTTAGTATTTTGTTAAACGTCAATCATGGTTCTAAATGTCTTATCATGGACTTCAAAGACCATCTTACTTCCAAATCTGTTCACAGGTCTTCCTGATTAATACATTTAGTCAAGTTTCAGAAAAGTTGCCCTGGTGAAAAAGTTCACCAGGCCTAGCTTTGCTGCAATAGTCCCTAAGATTCAGCTATCCAGCTGGCCAAAATTCAGACCCCTGTTTCCTTGCCCTGCAAATATCTGCAGGGCTTAACAGTCTCTACCCGTCACTAACATACCGAACAGACACAACCGGCACATTAATCCTAAGAGATGAATTTAAGGAAAGAGCAGAATGAATTCTGCTTCCTTCACTTCACTAATTTTAATTAAAGAAACAATGGTAGTTATTTCATCTCTAAGTTGAAAATGTACAACGTGCTATTTTACACACTGCTATAGACTGAGTATGTGTCTTCCCTAATTCATACCTTAAAGCCCTAATCCCCAATGTGATGGAATCTGCAAGTGGAGCCCTCTGGAAGGTAATTAGGTCACGAGGGTGGAGCCCTCATGAACGGGATTAGTGCCCTTATGAGAGAGACCGAGGAAAGATGATCTCTCTCCTCCCCAAGCGGAGACACAGCGAAGAAGTCAGCTGTCTGCAAACCAGACAGAAGGCTCTCACCAGACATCAAATCTGCTGGCACCTCAATGGTGGGACTTATCATCCTACAGAACTACGAGAAAAGTTTGTTGTTTTAGCCACCCAGTCTACGATATTCTGGTATAGCAACCTAGGCTAAGGCGGACAGATTGTAGACACAGATACATACATGCTTTTCTTAAGAAATTACAAAGGTCCAAAAATATATCTACTAATTTTTTAAATGTTTATTTTATTATTTTTTAAAGATTTATTTATTTGAGAGGGAAACAGAGAGTCTCCCGAGCAGGCCCTGCACTGAGCGTGGAGCCCAACACGGGGCTCGATCCCACAACACTAAGATCACAACCTGAGCCAAAACCAAGAGTCAGACACTCCACCAACTACACCACCCAGGTGCCTCTCAGATGTTTATTTTAAAAGTGAAATTCATGTTGCACAAACACATCAACATACTAAACACAATAGTCATTAAAAAGCCTGAAGAAATAAAACTTCCATCTCATTTCACTTATGACTCTTTTCAGCACATAAATTTATTAAAATCTATGACAAAAATAACAAAAAATAAGTAAAGATAAATAGGGAGCAAAAAAAATTATCCAAAGTTTGCCAAAGTATTGCCTTATTTATTTGACCTCCTTTCTCTTCCATAGAAATACTTACACTCTTTGGGGATTCCGTTACAGGAATTTTCTTAGGCCTTACAAATTCTTTAACTCCTTAGCAGCACGATTTATATCTTCAGTTTGTCTATGTTTCTGTTCACACTTCGAACTTGGGAAGTCTCGGCTATTATATGTTTAGGTAGGATACCTTCAGGCATCTATGGACTGCAATCAAATGGCTTTGCAATGAAGTACTGTATTCTCACTGCCAGAAGACCAGTACAGGAGGCAGGAATAGTTGGTGGCCACTGAATATTAAGTCTATTCATAGATGCAAAACACAATGATCAAGAGCCCTAAGAGGTTTCCCAGAATATAAACATTCCCTTTTCACTCCCTTGTAAAACACACAAAATATTTTAAAGAACTTGGGACTTACCCTCAAATAAACCTTCCGGAACCTCCTCCTGAGTCATTTTCAGCTCTGAGTACTGAAGGTGAGCCTTCAGACCATTCCATCTAAAGGGCTTCCACGGTATGCTTTTCAATGAGTAGGATAATACTTGATCTATGTAGAATTCTAAGTAACTTGAAAATAAATTCAGTACTCCAGCTCCAAGCTAAAGTGCTAAACTACTAAGATGATTCTAAGTGTTTTTAGCCTAAAACAGATATTAAATTTGACTCTGAGAGATCAATGCCTAGAAACAATTAATAACCAATCCTAAACTATGCTAACTACTGAGAACACTCACCACAGCCATCTAAATATCCAGATAAGGGGACAGAATAATACCTAGTTACGAGTTACCGTTTCCCATAATCTTTCTAAACAAATAAAAATAACCTTTTTATTATTATATTACTCTAACTAGTTAACAAAAATAAAAACCAAATATTGTTATATTGAGATAAAGCAGGGAGGATCTAGAAATGTGGTTCTTTTTCTTGTCTCTCCTTAACTCAAAGACAATGTAGGAAGACAGAATAGATGCAGATTTACCTGACTGATGTGAGAAGAATTTAAATGCTGTAGGTAAAATACTTAGGGCAGAGGTGACAGAGCTAGAATATTTAAAACATTCATCTCAAGATATATATTTAGTTTCTAAAATAATAGGCTCATCCTTGGATTTATATTAATATGTGATGGCATTTTGCCTACACAGTATATAGCTAAGATGCAATAGTAATACATATAAAACATCCCACTTTTATGATAGAAATTATTTCATGTACTTTGAATATGCTTTATAGTGTTCTAACATAAAGGATAAAAGTTTTTCTTATACTACCAACACATCTTTATTTTGGAATAAAATAATTTCTGAAAGAAGAAAATCTGCTTAAGTTCTCTTATTTTCAGTTGAAAATTTTTGCCCAATTTTTCTAAATTAAACCAAAAACTATGTGAGTTTATGTTTCAAAAACATTTTAGTAAATAAAAAGTTATTTACCCATTTCTATCATCCAAATGTACTATTCAGAAGAATTCTACAAAGCTTTAACATGATCCAGAATAAGATTAAGAGCAAAAAAGAAGTATAATCTTTAATTCTGGGGAGAAAAAAGTTTTTAACTGCTCAAAGAACTTTTTTTCAAAATTATGTATGTGTTCAGTTATAATGAAATATTCACCTGTGTTAAGTTATATCATGAGAGTTAGCACTCTTATTAACTGAAGGAGTACTTGTTCACATTTATTTATATTACCCTGACAAAATGGTAGTTCTATAATAAAACACCAAAGTTCAAAAGTTGGGATAAATACAAAAATGCATCACTTGATATCTTAGGTGTACATCTTCCTTTATGATAACAAATACCAGGTCATGGATTAATTTAACCTTGGATATGTAATACTTGTAACACTCAAATGGGTTTGAAAATATAAACATCTCTGCTTCAGCCTAAGTTTGAGGGGAGGATGCAAGTATGTGCAAATTAGTAGAAGGGAATGACTTTTATTATGGAAAGGTGGGAAAAGGAATGGATCCCTTTTTTAAAAGGAACAGATCACATTTATTAAACAATTCCTTTATAAACTTTAGATCTTAGACCTAGTCGCAAAGAAATTTTGGAATTATATTCAACAGTCTTATTTCTTTTTGTTTAACATCTAGATCCTAAGTCACCCAATTTAATCATCTTTAAGGGAACAATAAGGAACCAAAGCTACAAACAGATAGGAGTATTCTGATGCAGACTACCTGCAGTCTAACTACCATTTCACTGGCCAGTCAAACCATAAAAGAGAATTGAAGCTAACTCAAATATTAAGGAAAAGCTGGGGGAGGGGGAGAGCCGAAAACATGTCAAATATGCTTTCTAAGAAATTATGCCTCACTGCATAAGTTAAACATGAAAATTTCCACCTCAGTATATTTCTCATACAAAAATAACCTAACACTTATATATGTTTTAGCATATAAAAGGACATAATAGAAAAGTAGAGATTTGGTGTGTTTCTCAAATCTTATTTACCAGGAGTTCTAAAAATGAAATTATCACCCTGAATCAGAAATACTATCACTTTAAATTTCACTACATAGGTTTCCCAATAGCTCACCAAAACAAATACCAAAAATTCCCCTCACAAAAGCACAAACACACAGGACCAGTAAGTTGGAAAGCTGAAAAATATTAACTTCAAGGAGTTCACTTTAATTATGAAAAGCACTGCATTTCTAGAAACTGGTGATACCGAAACAAAATACCAATATCCATGACCAATATGTAAACTTATAATGATCCAGGCAAAATATGCATCTCGCTGGTTAAGCAGAAATACTTCTTTTTACAAATGTTTGAGAAACAATGCTTAAAATTATACAAGGTTTGAGAAACCTAAATTAACAAAGTTTTCATGAGAAGAGAAAAAACCAAAGTTGGTAATAGTAAAAGGCTTTTGGCTTTCTTACAAAATGATAGCTTCACAGCCACAGAACTTTGAAAGCACAAAGTATTTTTCTAGGAAAAACAGAATGATTGTGTGCTGTCTCCTCTACAGTCTTTGCGCATCCGAGTCGCTCCCAGACCCTGGCTCCCCGTTACCCGCACCATCACTTTCTCTGTCCCAGTCTTTCATGGACGCTCCCATCATGAAATCATCACGTAAGACTGTCCATCCAGGGCCCTCTTCTGACTTCATTTCAGTCTGAGGACAATTACAGAAAGAAACATCAAAAGGCAATTTAATCATAAGGAAATAAAAAAGCCCAAGCTACAAAACAAACTTATCAACACTTAGTTTCATAAAAGGAATGAAAACAAGGCAAGTCACAGTTTAATTTATACACTATGATATAGGCACAAATATGTATTAGGGCTATATGTTAATAAACTACTTTTAACCCCATGAAAGAATCATGGAAGCAAAAAAAAAAAAAAAAAATTTTTTTTTGGCAGGGGGAGGGAATATAGTAAAATCTAGGTTTGCTATCAATTTTTAAAATCTGGAAATCAATACAGACTTAAATATAACGTTTAGTGATGATTTATTAGAAAAATTCTGGCAAATTATTTTAAAACAAATAAATATTTAACAAAGGCTTATCACACAAAAAAGAGAAAAGGAAACTAACTTGGTACTGCGCTAGGTTTTTATAGATGTTATCTCATTTAACATTTGATAAAAATGTGAACCAAATGTTATTTAGGTTATGATCTCACTGCCTGACCTAATCATGTAATCAAAAGACTAATCACATGCTAAAATGATAAATAACTGAAGGAGGCAATAAACATACCAGGTAGTCAATTCATTTTGCTTATCTATTGGATTTACATAAAACTATATGACGGCCTAAGAATTACAGCCTTGCATTTCATGGTACAACAGCACCACCTTGTGGTATGAAGTATTACAGTATATGCAGAACTCCTAAGCTCCAGGATTTCTTTCCTTCATTCCACAAATAGGAGAACTGTGCATCAAGCACTGTTCTTCGTGTTGGAAATGCATTCATGAACAAAACAAAGTCCCTGTCTTCCTGGAGCTAACAGTCTATGCCTTCCTATTTATATCATTCATAAAATACAATGTTGGAAAACTCTCCCTAATTATACAAGAACCCATGATATTTGGCTAGAAAAGTGTTATCTTTATGGGAACTATTAACCATATAAAAAGCAATTTTAAAGAGAAAAGATATTAAAGACATTTTCTAGGTTACAAGAGATTATTTATCTAATTCTGCTGACGGTACCTTTTATTTAAAAAAAAAAAAAAAACATAGCCCTGAAACAGTCACTCCATTTAGAAAAAAAAGGACACTAGTACAAAACAGAAAAAAATATCCTATTGGATTATCCCTGTCTTCCTGGGATCAAAGAATCAAGCAAAGCATGTACCTAAATAGAATCTAAAGATTGGAGAGTATATAAATGTGAGCAAAGATTTCAGAATTGACTTAAGTCAAACAGCACGCTTTGTACTATAATTTAACCAACGTGAAGAAAGAAAAAATATCTGTGTTAGTTAAAAACCAAAAGTAAAACAATTGCAAAGCTTCTCATCAGCCACACTGATACGGGAGTAAGCAAGTAAGAAGGCAATTTATAACTCTCCTCATGGAGTATGCTAACACCTTCTCATCCCTCATTTCTACAATATCAAACCTACCTTCCTAAAACTATTCTTGCTTCTGTTAGATTTAGTTACATAACTTGATAAAAGGCTATTTTCTTTGATTCAACTCAAGTTTTCTTTGCCAGTCTCCTCATCTTAAGAGAAAGAGCTGTTCCCTTGAAGAGAACCACTTAGATGCAACAATCAAAACACCTCTCCTGCCAAATTAATCAAAGTTTTCAAGTAAATTCTAAAAAGTGTATGCTTCCTGGTATAGCCATATGCAAGTTACTGACTAGTAAAGCCTTAACCCTGACATTAACGTTTGTGTTTACAAATGAATATGCACAATCTCAGTGGTAAGCTTCCATGTTCAGACAGCTGCACCCAACGCGCTATCAACGTGCCGCCAACCGCGAGAAGGCAGATCTCTCATGCCTGAGCTCAATGCAGACGGTTTCCACATGAGAGCACATCCTGACAGCACGCTTCTGCGGGACTCTCAGTTACTCCTCTACTAGGCAGCACCATAAAAGCTGTTAGTACCAAAAGAAAGGAGGGAGGGAGGAAGGGCAGAATAGGGACAAAGCCTTCAACAGATAGTGCAGAAAGAAAGAAAAGATCCATAGTGGACCAAAGGAAATGACTCATTAATTAAAATGTTGAGACCAACTGCCCGGCACGCTTGTCTTGAAAGATAATTACGATGTTTACATGTTTAGTATTTCAGGCAAAGAGAAGCATCTCTCAACAGTCTGATTTGAAGAATAACAATGAAGTAAAGCTTTGTTGGGGGATTTTGGTGGTACCATTTTTGTTTTTTCAGCAATCGACTGTATCAGTAATTTTCCAAGTGTGGTCCCCAGACCAGCAGCGCTAGCGTCAGTATCACTTGTTAGAAAATGAAAATCTCAGGCCCCATTCCAGACCGCCTAAATCAGAAACGCTGGGGGCTAGAGGCCAACAATCTCTTTTAATAAGCCTTCCAGTGCTTCTGATACTGGCCGCCGTCTGAGAACCACCAGTCTATAAAAGAACAAATATTTCTTAGTGAGTTTCATTCACCGCTACAAGACCAAGTACACATTATGGCTGAGAGAGGAAAGATTTTAGATTCTGGAAATCCAATGTTAAGACACCTCACGGGATGTTTTATAAATTGCCATCATCCAAGCTCTCACATTACAGTGGTATTTTTTTTAATTTTTTAAAATTTTATTATGTCATGTTAATCACCATACATTACATCATTAGTTTTGGATGTAGCGTTCCATGATTCATTGTTTGTGCATAACACCCAGTGCTCCATGCAGAACGTGCCCTCTTTCATACCCATCACCAGGCTAACCCATCCCCCTACCCCCCTCCCCTCTAGAACCCTCAGTTTGTTTCTCGGAGTCCATCGTCTCTCATGGTTCATCTCCCTCTCCGAATTCCCCCCCTTCATTTCTTCCTTCCTACTATCTTCTTTTTTTTTTAAACATAAAATGTATTATTTGTCTCAGAGGTACAGGTCTGTGATTCATCAGTCTTGCACAATTCACAGTGCTCACCATAGCACATACCCTCCCCAATGTCTGTCACCCAGGCACCCCATCCCTCCCACCCCCCACCACTCCAGCAACCCTCAGTTTGTTTCCTGAGATTAAGATACGGTGGGATTTTTATACTGTGAAGGAACAATATGGAGATAAAAAAAACAAACAATAGAAAACTTAGTATAAACAAGTATGGGTTAATGTACTTTAAAAACAGGTATTTTTTTATAATATTTGTCCTGATGGCAGCTCAAGAAAAACTCTGTTTTAAAGGCAACAGGATGACCCTTTACTTTCTATGCCTACACTTGCTAAAGAAATACACAGCCAAGAAAAAAGGTTGGGGGGAAGGGGGAGAGTCCACGTAAGATGGCAGTTTGAACACAAACAACTAGTCTTGCTCAACTGCAAAACTCAATAAAACAACAGAAAAGTGACTTATTATTTTAAAGATATAATCCACAAGGAAAAGATCCAACAGCAACAGTCACTAGAAGAGATTGTCTTGGCAAACCCGAGAAAGCTGACTCCTAAGACTGCAACTGTCAAGCTGTAACCAACCCAATTTACATGGCAGAATCTTCAAGAAACCAACCAACAAACCAAACCCCCAGGAACTAGCATTCACTGGGTACTTTTGGAAGTGAGGGTAGGAATAGAAGGATCAAAATAAAGAGAAATGGGTGAACCTTATGTTGAGAAACAATCAGATCTCTGGATCCCCTTCCCCATTCCACACTAGCTGGGTGGAAGACTGTGAAGGCTTAAGCTCTGGAGAGGTAATGGGCTAAGCACCGATGAAGGCACCGGTATAGTACCAGAAACAGAAGATTAAGTTATACCCCCTCCATCCCCCCGCCCCGATAATGAGTCCCCACCCTCTTCTCACTTTGGGCTCCCAAAATGCTGGGAGGCAGACCTTTTCCTTCAGGCAGGAGATCAGGAATCCTCTAGAGAAAATCTGGCCAGTTGCTAATAAATAACCCACGGAGAGAAGGCTACACTAAAGCTCCTGTCACATGGACAACATCCACATGCTCACAACTTCACCGTCTCTTTGGGATTATTTGTTCTAAATCATGAACAGACAACTAAGGACTATCAGAAAGAAAAGAGAGAATAACAAACACAAAATTATATTAGAAATTATATATTAGAAAGCACCTTGTAGGAAAACCAAACTGTTCAAAGGGAAGAAAATTTAGGGGAAAATACCATTAATATTCTCAAAGAGTTAGGAGATTATAGTGCATCCACAAAACAAAAGCAGTTGCTATTTAAAAAGAAACATTAAGAGAATAACAAGGAGCTTGAAATTAAAAACATGATGGCAGAAAGAAAACATCAATACAAGGGTGAGAAGGTAAAGCTGAGGAAATCACCCAGAAAATAGAGTAAAAAGAAACAAGTGATGGAAAATAGAAGTAAGATAACTGGAGGACCAGTCCAGGAGGTTCAACATACAATAACAATTATGCAGAGAGAATGCAAATATGGAGGGGAGGAAAAGCAATGAAATACTTCAAGAAAATTTCCCAAAAGTAAAGGATACACACATCCAGAATAAAAAGAGCCCTCTTGAATGTCCAAAACACAAAAGAAAAACCGAGTCACATGAAGGACATTGTGTAAAATTTCGGAATAACAGGTACTAAAAGAATATCCTATAAGCTTTCAGAAATAGAACAAACAAGTCACATACTTAGAGATGATCAGGAATCAAAATAGATACAGATTTTCCTATGAGCAACCCTAGAAGCAAGAAAGCATGAGACCCATTCTTTCAAAATGCTGAAGAAAAATAATTTCCAGTTTAAAATTCAATACTCAGATACGCCATTATTCACGTCTGAGGACAGAACAGAGGTACTTTCATACATATAAGGTACCCAAAAGTTTACTTCTAATTAAGCCTATCTTGGGAAACTGCTAAGAATGTCCTCCACAAAAACGAAGAATAAACCAAGAAGAGAAAGACACAGGATAGACAGAGTAGGCAATCCAACACAGGAAAGAGAAGGGGACTTTCAGGGCGAGAGTAAATGGAGA